GTCACTTCCAAAAAGGAAGTGAGACTATCCTCAGAGCAAAGCCTTGCAGAGGAGGAGGTATTGAAGCTACAATCCATGGAAGCAGTGACAGTGTTAGCTCCCAAGGAGGAAAACAGAGGCTTCTTCTTCAGCCTTTTCCTTGTCCCAAAAAAGGACAAGGGGATGAGGCCCGTGATAAATTTGAACATCAACGAGTTCGTAGTCCCTAGACACTTCAACATGGAGAGAGTGCACACTCTGAGAGACCTCAGGATAAACCACCAAACTAGTTCTGAAAGATGCGTACTTCACAATCCCTATTCACAGTTCGAGTAGACAAGCACTAGGCTTCTCCAACCAGAATTGTCTCTGTCAGTTCACATGCCTGCCTTTCGGCCTGTCTTGCGCTCCTTGGGTCTTTACCAAGACCCTGAAGCCAGCATTTACGCTGCTCAGGGAGCTGGGAGTGAGACTAGTGGCATGTATAGACGATGTACTCGTCTTAGCAGAGACGGAGAAGGCAAGAGACCACACGGAGGGTTTGTCATATTTGCTGGAGAGCCTGGGTTAGGGTCTGTGATATTTGCTGGAGAGCCTGGGTTTTATAATTGACCCAGAGAAGATGACCACTCCAACCCAGGAGATAGAGTTACTGGGAATGATAGTGGACTTTCAAACTATGGAGCTAAGACTACCTTGTCAGAAGATAAAGAAATTGATGCAAGAATCTGCAACGATAAAGAATCAAGCAGACACACCCACAGAGCGGGATGTATCACGCCTCCTGGGCAAGCTAAATGCAGTCTCCAAGGCAGTTACTCTAGGTCCTCTCTTTTGCAGAGCTTTGCAGAGAGACCTGACAATATCATTAGGGGAAAACGAGCTAAATTAGTATGCTCCTTGCCCCCTGTCACCAGCAGCCATAGAGGAATTAGAGTGGTGGCAGGAACAGCTCTGAACCTGGAATGGCAAGAGTCTCATCTTGAGGGAACCAGACATCCAGATAGATTCGAATGCTTTCCTCAAGCGTTGGCGAGCAGCAACTCAGGGGTGTCAAACAGGTCATTGGTCAAAGGAGGAAAGGACCCTTCATATAAACGGTCTCAAGTTGCTAGCAGCAACCCTAGCAGTAAAAACTTTCCTGAAGAATCAGGTAAACAAACGAATACTACTGCTGTTGGACAACCAGACTGCAGTAGCATATGTGAACAACATGGGTGGGACAGTATCCACCCAGGCAACAAAGTTAGCCAGAGAATTGTGGATGTGGTGTCTCGAGAGGGACATCCTCCTGACTGCTCAACAACTGGCAGGAAAAAAGAATGTCATAGCAGACTCAGAGTAGAAAGTACTGAGAGATCGCTCCGACTGGATGTTGAATGCTGTAGTGTTTCAATGAATTTTGAGTCAATTCCCCAACCTCCAAGTGGATCTGTTTGCAACCAGATTGACTCATCAACAGCCTCATTTCTTCAGATGAAGGCCAGATCCTCTAGCTGAAGAGACAAATGCTTTTCTCCAGGACTGGACGCAGGTGAGGGGATGTGCAACCCTCCCTGGAATCTAGTGCGAAGAGTCCTGGTAAAAGTAGAGAAGCAACCAGCAGATATTCAAATAGCCCCAGTCTGGCCATCTAAGCCTTGGTACCCCGGACTCCTGGGAATGCTGAGGTCTTACCCTCTGAAAATCAACCTTCAAAGGGAGGCAATAATAGTGACAGAACCATGACAGCAAGTGTTGCCACCTCTAGCCATGTGGCCTATCTCAGGCTACAATATGCTGGTAAAGGACTTTCAGGACAAGCTGCAGACTTCCTCCTGTCCTCTTGGGACACAAGACCTCACAATAATTGATTCGTTTTGTAGGAAATACATCAGCTGTTGCAATGAATGGCAAGCTGATCCCATTTCGGGACCTATAGAGGATATTGTCAATTTCCTAGCTCAACTTTACATGGAGGGATACCAGAATAAATCACTGAATGCATATAGGTCTGCTGTCTCCTCAATGCATAGAAGGGCAATCTATTGGTTAGCACCCACTGGTGTCTAGGCTTTTGAAATGGGCATTTCAGACACGCCCCTATTGCTAAGATACCAGAGCACTTGGGATGTAAGTAGGGTATTACACCATATTAAGTCCAATTAGTTGGACCACAATTTGTCTCTTAAATTGATGTCTTAATGAACAGTCATGCTGTTAGCATTGACACGGCCTTCACGGTCAGCTGACCTCCCTAAGCTTAGTCTAAAAGGTTATAGGAATACCCCTGGAGTGGTATTCATACCAATAGCTTTGGCTAAACAGTCCAGACCAGGTAGTGTTCTTAAGGAATTTTTCTTCCCACAATTTTCTGGGGAAGAAAACTTATGACCTGTAAGGTCTTTAAATCTATACATTGAAAAGACCTGGGAAATTAGAGGCAGTACTGATTTGTTTATTTCTTTTATCAAACCACATCAAGCGGTTACTTCTTCCTCAATAGCTAGATGGCTAAAACAAATCATGGAAGCAGCTGCTATAGATACCAGCATGTTCAAAGCCCACTCTGTTGGGGTGCTAGTACATCAGCTGCTGCTGTGCAAGGAGTCACAACAGAAGATGCAGCGGACTGGAGCACAAATTCATCCATTGTGCGTTTCTAGTACATACCTGTTTGGGATACAGGGTTTGCTGAGTCAGTCCTTAAAACTACAAACTACACCATTGATATGTGAGACTGAGCCTTCTGAAATATAATTACAAAATGGCTAAGGCCACAAAGCATCTGAATGATATTCTGGATGATATGAAGAAGGTGAAGTTGAGCATATCAATGGTCTCCCTCCCACCCCCTCCACATTGATATGAAGGAATTCTTCATGCTTAAGTGGCTTATTGTGTTTTTTGTATTGATAAATTTCATGGTCATTATAAAAAGGCCAATGCGGTGACACCAGGGCAGGGTTTTTATACAAAATTTGAAACCCTACCCATAGGTGGAGATTTTTCTATAAATATTTCAATTATTACTACAAACTAACTGTAATTTTAGAACACTAGGCACAATACCAATGATATGCTCAACTTCAACTTCTTCATATAATCCAGAGTAGCATTCAGCCGCTTTGCGGCCTTAGCAATTCTGTAATTATATATGAAATACAATTATCAATATAAGCGTCAAACACACCACCACCATCATCCTCAATGTCATCCTCAAACTCGACATCATAATCATTATCAATGTCCTCTCATTCACTTCGGCTACATCGTTATTTGTAAGAGACTCTTCATTACTGCATGCCTTTTCTTCCTCGCTTTTGCCACAACATTTAGTATCACTCTTTTACACAATCGTATATCACATTTTTGCACTCATCATCTTACTGAACATCTTTCTCATTCTCAATAACATCATCATGAGCCTCATCCATACAGCTGTGATCACTTGCAAGAACACCTTTACAACTGCCAGAATTATCTATTTCCAATATTAAAATTATTACACAAGTAAATTTCCTTACTATTTATTTCAAAATCTCTATCATCAGTATAACTGTCTGGCAACTCTTTACTATTGGACAGATGAGTACAACTATTTCCTGTTTTCTGTGGAAATTATAATGATTACTTATGTAATGTGAATGTATATGCATATAGTTAGTTACCTGTAAGTTACTACATAAGTAATCAGACCAAAAATACACATTCATGTCGTGCCCCTCAGAGATGCGATCAACTGTCTTAAAAGTTTCAGTGTGGGAGAGACATATCATTAACGGTTGTTAACAGTTTAGACATCATGATCCTACTGTACCTCTTCGGTGCATCTGTTACCGTATAAAATTACAGAAATTGCTCACTGAACTAAAGAAATTTGTCTTAATCTTGATTTCAAGACAATCTGCATATCAGGCACATCAAAACATTTTTCTGAGATTCTTTACCCCCATGTATAGTTGTCAATACCTTTATTAAGGTTGGCATCTCACAAGCAAGCTCTATGTCCACAGTATTCCTACTAAAACATTTAACCCCTTCACATGAGTCACAAAGAATGGAGTCATTGATTCTAGAACTAATCTTAATATCTTGTCTAATTGTGCGCCACACCAGCTCCAAAAAATTGTGATGTGTGACTAGATGTGGCCATGGAGGATGCTAGATAATTGTAATTCCCACGTGCTAGCCGTTTTACTTTTTTCCTTGAAAATGGAGACGCCACTTTGAACGACTTAATACCAGACGGATATTGAATACTTACCTATGATTATGTTTTCGTAATATTTATATAGCATTATTGTGTGCTCACTTACAGAAACAATATCTTTCTCTTCATCTTCAGATCTTTTCTTGTTGGGTGTAAGCTGGACAGTTGGCTCCACATTCTCATCTGTTGTTGCCATGCTCTAAGGCTGATGCTCTACCATCATCAAACTATTAACATGGTGTTCAATATATTCATATAATCAATATATCCTGGATTAATTAAGACATTCAATATTCATGACTTGTAACCACATAGTTACATGTGGTCAGCTTTATGGACACATATACACAGATCTCAGAAGAAGCAGAAAAACACAGTTTGTTTGTCTTGTTCCTTTGTTCATCATTCATCGTTCATCTCCATCATTCAGAAAATATTTTATCAAACTATTTTAGTAGTGTGAGTGTACGTTGCTATTTTTTTTTATCATTTGCTATAACTTTTCTTTTCTCACTCTTTGTAAAATATTCCCATTCCTTCATTTCCCCTTCCCTTTCTAACTCTCTCTCTTTTATTATTTGGCCAAGAATATTTGTGATCCTCCTAATTCAGTCATAGAATCACACTAAGTTGGTGACCCTGACTCAGAACATGGCTACCTCACCTAGTCCAGATACTCTAGCTTCCATTTCTAAATCTACCGGCTTACTGGCCTGCCGATGCTTATATCTGGTTCGTTCAAGTAGAAGTGCAATTCCAGACAAGAAAGATCACCTCTCAGAAAACCAGATATGACTATGTCATTGCTTCTCTCTAACCAGAAGTAGCTATGGAGGTACGTGACCTCGTCCTCAAGGCTCTTGACTTAGATCAGTAGAACCTTCTCAAAAAAGCTCTTATCGAGCGGACAGCAGCCTTAGAGCAGCGGCGGCTACAGCAGTTGTTCACCGGGCAAGAACTTGGTGACCGTAAGCCTTCACAGCTACTGAGTAGAATGGAGCAACTGCTGGGACAGTCCGCTGAAGAAGCCCCATCTTTCCTCAAGGAGCTCTTTTTACAAAGGCTGCCCATTGGAGTCAGAATGGTGCTAGCTTCAGCCAAGTCTGATACTCCTTTGTCAGAACTTGCTCTCCTGGCTGACAAAGTAAAGGAAGTATCTGCACCACCACCTCCTGTCAATAATGTCGCAGAGAGTGATTCACTTTATACTGAGGTAGCATTGCAGAGAGAGGAGGTAGCTTGCCTTACACAATTGGTCAAGAGTGCAAATAGAGTAGTTTGTGGTGATGATTAAGGTGAGCTTCCTACTTGTCTATGTCTAGTGTGTGTATTCGTATATGTAACTGCATTTGGTTGTTGCTCAATTTTAATTAGTGATAATAAATGAGCCTCTATCTCTTCTTGCTAACCAGAGGCTGAACCAATTGAATAGTGTTTTTATCATAGCTACGATGTTGCCTACCTTGATATACAGCAGCATGTGTCGAAGTTGTCAACAGAAGCAATTGTTGCTATCCTAGGTGAAAGGTTTTTCCATTTATTATTAATATGTGTCTGGCTTTTACCAAAATAAGTCAAATCTATTGTGACTATCTGGAGAAGATACACACCCTAGTTTATTCAATATGCATAATAGCTGACTTGACCCACCATTAGCTTCAATGATATCAGTAAGTACAATATGTGTTGGTAATGTTTCCTATGCATTAGTACAATTCATCAACGGCCATATAATTAAGTTTTGACTGAGTCATTAGACTTTGACTTTGAAAAGTAACAATCATGAACTGTCTGTGTAGCTAGCTCCAAAAAAAGATCAAATTCGGATCTATTTTGCTAAGAAATTCTTTCAGTGGCAAATGAGGCATTTCTGGCAACTTTGAAATATTCTTAATTTTATTGTGTAATATATATAATCAAAGCACTCACACACAACTGCTCTTTCTTGTCATCATTACACATTGTAGTAGGTTCACTTGGTGGACTACCTACAGTTGGGATATTAGTGACATTCAGCTGTGCACATGCTCTGAGAGCCCGACATTCTGCTGTGCACATGCCCCTAGAGCCCAAGATAGAGTTGTAAGAATGTCTCAATTTTTTCAGTGGAGTATTGTACCAAAGAGCTGGTTGATACAGATAAAATCTAACAATAATTATTTCTTTCAATTATAATTAAATGATGAAGTAGCCAGTGTGAAGAAAACTTTCTTTTGCATTTTCTGTTTTAATATTAAGTGACAAAGAAGAAATACTGCATTTAGGCTTTTCCCCTGTATAGTGCTCCACAAAAACATTACATGCAGCACTCAAAAGTAAGGCTTTATTTTGTCAAAAATTATGAGCGATAACAATGAGTGTTTCCAAAACAAATTTGTTACCTAGGAAGTATTTGGTTCGTATTCAAAAATAAGCCACTGATTTATGTTACGGTTTAAGTCATTTTCTAGTTCTTTCTCTAACTCAGTTTGTAATTGCAAGTGTGCTTTATAACAAACCAAACAATACATCTTCATTTTCAAGAGTCTGACCTAATATGTTATAAAATAGTAGTTGGATCAGGGCAATGCTGTGTAAACGACTTTCCTTGTTTGGTGTGTGCATTGCAGCTAACACAATTAATGGGTTTTAGTTTTCTATATACATCATAGTAATGATTTTTACATAAATAAATCTCTTATTTACTAGCAAACTCTCCAGCACTCATCAACTTCTTTCATAAAAAGCAAAAGATGCACAGGTGATTTTGGTTGTCGCTGATGTTAGCATACTACCATTATACATGCAAGTCACTGGATTACTTGTATTTGTTACTTGTATTTGTCACTCTCTCTTTCCATTTGGGAACATGACTGTCATTGTTATAGTGCCGTTTAGCTTCTACTTGATGTCTTTTACAAATTGGAGCTTCAAGCGGAACTTTGCCATGATTTTTTTCAATATAACTTCATATGTTGATGTAAATTTGAAAAGATAGTCATGTGAGGGCTAAACTTACCACATTATAATACAGCTCTAGTGATGATACCTGTAATGTTTATAATACATCTAATAACTAGCACAGTGCATTTTAGCTATAACTAAGTAGCAAAAAAGGGCACAGTTAAGCAACTCCACTATGTTATAGAGTATGCTTTTTTTTTCAAAAGCCAGATTAGTTCTACTAATAGAAACGTTATACATTAATTTGACCCTTACCTACTCTTGTTCACTTTTGACCTAAGAGGAGCACTATAAAGACATGTGAAGGTCATCTATAAGTTTATTCATTGTTTTATTAGTATTCATAGTTTCACATGAATATTATTTAAAGAAATATATGATTTAAAAAAATTAAGCCAGAAATTGAGTAAATAATAATTACAAGTGTGCGTGGGCTCACTTCTACAAGCTTATCTTCGTTTCCTGGACAGAATTATTGACGGTTGCATTTGAGCTGCATTGTTCACAAAGGCACCTAAAAAACCAGAAGATGGCCCAATACAAAAGAATATTTATTTTTAAGAGTGACAGTATGCCAACACACTTGTATGACATGACTTACAAAGGCCATCATCAATATTTTAGATTTGATTCTTCCATATATCCGCAACTTTATGTAACAACATTGTTTTCAAATTGAGATTTTTGTAGAGTTACTAAAATCATGCACCATCGTCACATATCCAGATAAAAGAGCAAAAAGATAAAAGAGTAGAGCAGTTATACAAAATAGACAATATGAACAAATATTGCACAAATATTGTGTATTAGTATCGTTCCTTTAGCCAATCCAAGTAGTACACAAATTTCTAGATATTGGGGAAATAATAGAACTACAAAAAACCTGAAATAGTGCTCAATTACTATTCAACTTTCAATAATCCTAGATGAACGACAGAGTTTATATGGATCATAAGTATGTGTGTGCAAGAATATTTATATGGGAGAAGTACTTTACAAGCTAGCATTATAGGAATCATACCGTATTTCCATAAATAAAAGCCAGGGCGTCTATTTCCTAAAACGATATTTGGATCTAGAAAAAGTATTTTAAAAATAACAAAAGTGGGATTCAAACCCGTAACCTTAAGCATTACACTAATGGAACTTCAGGCATTATCCAGTAACTACAGAGTTACTCCTGGGCTACTGTTGCGTATTTATACTTTCATTCTATTGGTACCCCAGCGTTTATTCCAATCCGGCTTCTATTTAAGGATAGACATTACATATATCTATTAATGGATACAACTTACACTTAAACAGAGCATTGAAAGAATCAGAACTATACAACATGCAAAATGCATTTTGAATTGACCTACAATAGCTTCATGGTGATGGTTTCATAGCAATGATGATTGTATAAAATCAGTTTCACTAGTCGTGAGTCAAAATTCTATTCTATGTAGTATTTGCTGCATTGATAAGGTTTTAGTTGTGATATCTACACTCCTTGTTTGTTTTTTTCATACATGCATGCTACCATGTACAACTTTACACAAGTTGATTTTCTCTATTTATAGCAAGTTCATAGCAGGTGCAGGAGTGATAATTTTGTAGTGTCACGCAACACATTTTCTACTTATTCATTTATGTTCATTTACATGTATTAATAGAATGTGACATGCATCATTGCAACCTTTGAGTTTAGCCTAGCGAGCATTTTTACAAGTATCTGTTGACCTTTGTTAGTGTGTCAAGCTACATGTAGATTTACATGTATCAAATTTAATGTCATATATGTGTGTACCTTAATAGGTCCGTAAAAACCTGGTTGAGAGTACTACTTCTACAAAGTTGACTAGCTCTACAATCTTTAGTTTTAAGTTACTGTATTATTCCATGAGGTTGTAGTGGTAAATTGTTTATAATTTTAATTATTAATAACAAAACATATTGTTACTACTAAAGGTTAATTCATTAGTAACGCGGTAGCATTTCTAAGTAGGATTCACACCCAAACAAAATGGCTGCCATGACTTTTGCAGCCTTGCTATACCGGGAAAATGAGCTCCTTTGCTAACCAGACTTCTTAGAGGACCTTATCCTGACAAGAAGACTCCAATGGTACCACTAGCGTGACTCTAGACCTTTTCTGGGAGAAAAATAAAAATCAGTAAAGCGGCCGTTTTGTTCATCCACCTTTTTCATTAGCATCATGATCTGTCAATCCAGTTGTCGGTCACTATATCAATCTTGCCTGGTGATAAGAAGGCTAATTCTTACACCATTCTACTCCAACAGGGTATGTGCAGGTCCTTGTCCCCTAGAATCATTCTCCAAGAAAGGAAGAAGTGATACTGTGATTGTTTGGTCGCACCAGCTTACCTTGTGCCGCCATTTTGTTAATTAAAGAAGCATGTGCTCCAAAATTTGGGCATGGTTGCGCATGCTCAGATCTCAGAGCTGGGAACGGCAAGTATTTTTACCTAGCTATAGGCTAGCTATGCTTGGAATCAAATTGCAGTACTTAGTGGAGCTTTGCAGCTAAGAGAAGGTATTAATCTTGCGTGTGTAATGAATTATTTGATTTCAAAAATACAAAACAATTAATTAATGTTTATAATACTAGTGATAATATGAACTTGACAACAGGAAGAACCTGCAGGAATAGCTACAGGATTGCTTGGAAGATAGATCTTCTTGAACAAGGGGTCACGTCAAGACTATGGTAATCATTTCACTTGTCATCACTATGGTAGATATTCCTTCACCATATCTATTTAATTCAATCAGTGCTGTCCCTCATAAATACTGTAAATTGATAACAATGACAACAATAATAAACTTACTGTTTGTGTAATATCACAATTGTAACTGAAAAATTATTATAAAAAAATCAACAAAAACAAGAACATAAAAATTTAAAAAAACAAGAGTGAGTAGGATTCCGAATGACAAACGAAAATACGAAATGAAAATCCTACTCTCCTGACGCAAACTCTACTTTACATTGCAAGGTGATCCATAACTTTTAAATAATAACATTAAAAGTACACTGTAGAGTAGAATTTGCGTCACCAGAGTAAGATTTTTATTTTGTATTATCGTTGAACATTCGGAATCCTACTCAATCTTGTTGTTTTAAATTTTTATGTTCTTGTTATTATTGTAAACAAGTTCTCAATGGCTATGCACTACAAATTAGGGCAAAAGAGTGGACCAGCAAGGCACATAAGTGTACATTACATTTCTAACAAAAATAAACTAAAGCAGCTAATCAGCATACTAGGAGCAAAAGACATGCTTACATGTCTGTAACATTATGACTATAGTATAACTAGCCAAAGACATGCCTACATGTATGTACCT